TTAAGAGAGATTTTCACTATGGGTTGCATGCGCTCACTGGAGAGACGGAGAGACAAAAAGCGAGAAATCACACCCTGGGAGGATGGCAACAATCTTTTCTACTCCATTCTCCTCTCTGGATCTAGGGCACGTACGCACACATGCCTAGCATGAGTTTTAAGCCGCCAGGTTCAGGACTTGAACCTCAGTCAGCTACATGGGAGTCCAGTGACAAAGCCATTATGCCATCTGCTGGTCACACACCCCCCCCCATATTTATAAAAGAATTCTCGGCAAGCCAAAGCTACAAGCATAAGATGGTTTGCCTCTGACCACTTCGAACCTAGAAGCAGAAAAGTTAGCACGCCCTCTTTGTGTTACACACTTTAATCTCATATTTCATTTATCGATCACTTCAATCCTTCCAGGAGAGGATCATGTCATTTCAAAAACAAGAAAACTGATCCAGTAGGAACGGATGAAAAAGTTATGGGTGGCGATAATCATCGCTAATGTGAATGTATCTATACCACTAATTGTGCACTTAAAAATGGTTAAAATGGTAAATCTTAAGTATTTTTATCAAAATTAAAAAAGAAAAAGAAAACAGACTTCAAGAGGCAAACAATTTGTTCAAAGTCACAACAGTAATCTGAGTGTCTGAGCTAAGATTCTAGCCCGGATTCTTAGACCAAACCTGAGGCCAGGATTTCAAACCGTGGGAGGTCTGTGAGAAATGTGAGGAAGGCCAGGAGGAAACAATGGAGTGGAACGAGCGAGCGGGAATGAGAAGTCTGGGAGTCTCCCTCCATGCCCGGTTTACACTACACACACTAGACTAGTGTAAGCAAATGGTTCAGGGATCAAAGCAGGTTTAGAGGTGGTAGGTAGCTCCTACCATCCATCTGTGGCCAGATGGCCCTGCTCATCCTGAGTCCTTCCCACCTTCCTGTCAGTGCCAGAGATCAAAACTCAGCCTTCTCCAGCATTCTGCAACCTGCGAGATCAAAGGGGAACTTTTGTCTAAGTTATAAAAGAGAAACCAAGAGGCAACCTAGTGCTGCCTGTCTCCTCTGCACTTCCTGAGGGGATTACAGGCACTTCTTTAAAAGAACGCCTCAGAGAAACATATTTAAATAAGGCGTGGTGTTGGCACTGCGGTGGCAAGGATAGAGTGGCTCCTGAGGAGTATATGCCAGGTGGGGCCACCTGACAAATGAGCCAGACAACACAAAAGCTTGTGAAGATTGCAGGGAAATGATGCCCACGATCACAGAAATAAATCTGATTTTAGGCAGATGGTATTACATGCAAGGATTCTAAACCACAGACTTTTTTAACTTAGAAGTTAGAAACCAACAAATCCAGACCTTAATTTTGCATACGCCATACGTGGAAAATAGACCAACATACCCAAAGTAATTTGCCCCAGCTGCGTGGTACGTCGGTCATCGGTCGCAGTGCTGGGACGGCCCAGGTTAGGGGCTCCTGCTCCAAAGCTCCTTCCCCGATCAGCTGATGCCCACCCGCACATGAGGTGCAGAGGAGACAGCCACTTCCCACACGGGACTGGTGGCAGAGTCCAGGACCTCCATCCAACTGCCCTAAGGTTAGCACCAGATTCCACCACTAAAAACAGTTCTGTGCTGTTAGCACCGCCTCCCTCAGCTCAAAGAAACTCTGATATCCTTCAGTCCATTCCTCTGCTTCTGGACTGCTCCAAACCCAGGGAACCTCATGAGTTTTTTACATGACTAATTTTTAAAAATTAATTAATTAATTTTTAATTCGATCAGAGAGGGAGAGAAAGGGAAGGGGCAGGGAGAGATAGAGGGAGAAAGGGAGTGAGAAAGCAAGCTGCCAGGTCCTAGACTTGAATGGCAGCCAGCCACGTTGGAGTCCAGTGCCCTTAGCCACCATGCCACCTGCCAGCCCCTAATTTTTTTTTAGAGAGTTTTTTTTTGATACAAGACATGTGTGCTCTCCAGAGAGACAGAAAGCGAGTAATCACCCCCTGGGGGGATGATCGCACCGCAACCCCTCCTCCTCCATTCTTTTCTCAGGATTTTGGGCGGCACTCTTACACACGCACACCTGGCGTAAGTTTTAAGCCGGACTCAAATGGCAGTTGACTACATGGGAGCCCAGTGATGTAACCATTACGCCATCTGCTGGTCACCTTCACAACAGTTTGAACTGACCTAGAAATCCCACTCCTAGAAACACACACCCTTATAGTTGAATCAACTGGACTAGGGAGAAATGTTCACATATTGAAATATTCACTTTGTAGGCTAAATAATGTGATTGAATGTATAAAAGAAAATGAAAAAAAAAAGAAATCAAAATGAAGAAAAAAAAATTGAAAACATATGTTCACCCAAAGACTTGTGCACAAATGTTCATCACAACACTGTACGGAACAGTCAAAAAATCCGGAAACAATCCCAATATCCATCAGCTGATTAACTATATCCATACAGAGGACTATTTTTAGTGACAAAAGGAAGAAAGTACTGACACACATTACAACATGGATGAACTGTGGGGAACATGTAATAAAAGAAGTCACAAACAACCACATATTGTGTAATTCCCTTAATATGAAATGTCCAGAATAAGCAAATCCGTAAGAGACAGAAAGAGAATTCATGGTTCCCAGGGACTGGGGTTGGGGAAAAGGGTGGTGAGTGACCGTTAATGTTTCTTTTTGGAAAAATGTTCTTGAATTAGTGGTAATGATCGAACCTCGTAAATATACTAAAAACTACTGGACTGTACCTTTTAAAAGAGTGAATTTTATGGCATGTAAGAATGAGAGCCATTAAAAAGACTACAATAAAAATAAAAATAAAAACAGTGTGAATGATAATATCTGTCAGAGAAGTACTGAGTTTTATACTCCAAATTGAAGTTTCTATACTCCTGAGGTGCCTACTAATGTATTCAATGGACATTCCCAGGTTCTACCAAAATAATATTCTCAAGGGTGGTTTCCCATAGTATGGTATGCGCCTGCCTCTCAATGCAAACCCAGGTAGATCAACTCTGTTTCTGGTAACTTCCTAGAGTAGTCTAACTCCAGGGAAGGAAGAAGGCAGGCAAATCTAAGAGAACTTCAGTTTATCCCAGCTGTCTTCTCCCGAGGGAGAGAAGTATTGCCCTGCAGGCTCAGGGAACACCCATTGTGCTAACACGGGCCTGGGTGGTGGCAGCCTACACCTGGGGGAAGAGCCGTTCAACAAGGAAAGTGAGAAAAGGAAAAGCCTATAAATATCACTTGAAACTTAACTTTCAAAACAAACAACAAACTAAAAACCCAGCCTGTTCCCACTGTCACTGAATCCACTAGCTCAGTTCCTCTCTGGTTATAAGACTTGCCTCAGAAACCCAAACACCCCACAGCAGACCTACACACCTCCACAGCCAATGGTTGCATAAGGGCCCATCTGTACGAGGATGTGGGGACTGTTCTGGCTTCCGTCCTAATAAACTGGTTGACACGGAACAAACTCAAAACTATCCGACTCCACTTTGCCTGTTAGACACAATGCCTCATAATAAACTTGCTTCCATGCCTTTCCCCTATTACAATGAACATGGAAATTTCTCCTCTGCAACTCTTAAATTGGCCTCTGAGTCACTGTATACATCACACTCAGTTTCCTGAAATCGGTTACTGTGTTCAGCATGGAAGCGCAGTGCAACACTCACATGTGGCCCAACAATCACTAAACGGCTGTGCTTTCCACTGTGCTTCGAATAAAACCCAGATTCCTTTCCAAGGCCTCTCTGTGGGCTGAGAACAAGCTGGCTGCCCTGGAGGGAGTGTGAGAGGGAAACAACCTAACAGACACAAACTGTAAAGTACAATCCATCCCATTAGCCGCATGCTTCTAGAATCACAGTTGTTCTTGCCCTTCTTCAATATCATCTTGTACAATTTCTCCTAACGGCCTCCCCCCTTTACCCCATCATGCTTCAGCTCCTCCAACTTACTTTGTGTTCCTCCAAAAGACCAAGAGCTCCCACTCTGGCCCTTTACATTTGTCATTTCTTTTGCCTGGAGTACTCTCTGTGTGGCTGGTTCTTTCTTGTCAATCAAGTGTCAGCTCATGCCACTTTCTCTTGGAAGATTCTGACCACCCAAATCCAAAGTAGTTGTGTCATCCAGTCACCCTCAATCACCATCACTTCACCTTGCTCTCGGCACAGCACTTACCACTGTCTGACATCATCTGGTTCATGTACTTTCTTGTCTGCTGCTTGTCCTCTCAGACTAGAAGAGCTCCACAAGGGTAAGGACCTTGATCCTCTAATTCCTAACTATTGATACATCCCTAGGCTCCTGGCATGGAGGAAGCACTCAAATATTTGTTGATTAAACAAGTGTGTCCAGAAATTTGTACTGCCAACGTACAACCTCTTAAAAACCTCTGAATCACATAGGAATTTCCTAGTTTAATGCTATAAATCCTTTATGCAACTTCTTCCCTATGGCAAGGCAGAGTAAGACTTCCAGTTAAGCCTTACACCATTCTTGTTCTGAATGTGGTACAGAAAAAAAAAAAAAAAATGAATTTCAACATCCCACTTTCAGGATTTGCCCCACTTGTGGTTCAGACTGAAGTGTGAGACCACAGAAACCAGTTAAGGCTGTGAAATCTTTTACCTGACCTCTGAGGTACTAAATAAGGAACCCCTCATTAAATAAAAAAGGTAAGGTGTCAGTTAATGAGGGAAATGTATTTTCAGTCAGTAATTTACCACTGTGGAGAAACCCAACAGTGAAGAATTTAAGCAATAATTTTTCTTTGCTTAAATTTCATGTCATCTTCTTTTCTCTGAGTCTTCCTTGTCATTTACTCCCAGGATCAAAGCAATACACAGGAAGACCCAGGAAATCACTCTGGATTAAGTCATTTATATTTTAGTTCTGGTCTCTTGGCAGGGGAATATTAGCTCAATTTGTTCAAGAAAGGCAAGTCTTTCAGAGATTTACTTCCAGGGTTCTGACCCACCTTCAAGCACAGCTCTTTTGCCTTCACCCTCATCCACACACAAGCTTCATCCTGGAGATTCATCATAATGAGCTTTTATCCCTAAGGAACTCTGGACCTACAGCTGCATGGGAAGGCCAGGCTGCCAAGTGGGGCTTGGGGCTAGAAGTGTTTTCAAAACGTAATTCACTGACCACCTCCGCATTATCCCTGGAGTGCTTACTAAAGAAGTGCAGATTTTTGGGCACCGCTTAGTCTTACGGAGTTAGAATCTTTGGAAGTGGGGTTCGGGAAAAGGGTAGCAGTTAGTTCTCCGGGGAAAGACACAACGGGTAGGGAAGGGTCTTGGGGATGGACGATGGGGGTGAGGTAGGCAAGGGCAAGCTCTAGGGTAGCAGCAGTTAAGAGGGGTGCGATAGGGACAGCTGACGGTGGAGGAGAGGACAGGCTCCAAAAGATCTGCGAGGGCTTGAGCTGGAAGGCTGGTAGACGCGAGGTCGCATCCGCGGTCTGGTCGGGATGGTGGGGAGAACAGTCTGGACGTGAAAGGAGGAGCGAGGATGAGAACGATGGGAGGGGATGTTCTTCGGAGGGGTAAGGGTTTGGAGGTGAAGACTGCAAAATTGGGTTTTCCCAGGGGGCGGAGACCGAAGTAGAAACGGGAACTGGTGGAGACTACAGCCGAGGTCTCCCTCCAAAACGGCACCTCTACCAAAACTCGGGGCCTTGACAAGCCTAAGTGCGGAACCAAAAACTAGGGAAGGGGGTTTTGAGGGATGCGAGCCCAGTCAGGGGTGGCCCTCAGGCCTGAGTCAGGGATCTTGGAGGTGGCTCGGGGCCAGGCATGGGGCGCCGGAAGGTCCTGGGATACCCAAGAGGGCCCGCTCCAGCTCCAGCTCCCGGACTCTCCTTCACTCACCATCGCCGCCGCCATCTTGGATCCACGTGTCGGCGTGATGACGTCAGCGGAAGTGGTGCTTCCCTGGTTACGGAGTTTAACTCCACGAGGTGGTCGCCTGGCTTCGATCGCTCCTGTGGGCGCAGCGAACCGAGAGGCAAAGGAAACTGAGCTCCTGCTTGATAGCCTAGTCTGGACAGTCAGGTCGTCTACTAAGTAAAACTAGAGGGCGGTGTAACTATGGGACCCATGTTAGTTACTGGCAGAGACTGCGCCTCCTCTACTCCCGCTGCATTGTGGGTAATGGTGTATCTGGAAATGCACTCGCTCTCTGGGCGCCATTTTTGCTATTGGCAGGAAAACCCGTTGCCAAGGTTACCTGAGACCTCGATTTACGCGAGAGGAGTTGGCATCTGAGCTCCAATAAGAGCCCGACTCCGAGAACAATTTGTAATCATATATTTAATTGCTTACTTGACTATCCCATATCCTAACAGACTTTAATCTCTGTGAAGGTAGGATCGTTATTACCTTGGTCTGTCACGTTCTCATCTGTAAAATGGGAATGGCATTATTATAATACCTTCTTCGTTATAGGCTTTTGATGAGGATTCAATTACATAATATCCATAGGATATATTCAATAAATAATTGTCATTATATGCTTATGTATACTCCTTTGGGTATGTGGTGGTGTTGCCCAGTATAATATACTATTTGTTAAATAAATGAATGAAAAGCAGCGTTTTTTTGTTTGTTCATTTTGTTTTTATTGCCAGGGTGTGCATGTGCTGGTCAGAAAGAAACAATCTCCCGATGGGGCATGCTCATGTCACAATCCTTTTTTTCCCTCTATCTCTCCATCCTGTCAGGATTTTGAGTGTGCACACACATTAGGTGTGTTTTTCAAGCTTCTGGGGCTGGTACCCCAACTGTGGTCAGTCACAAGGGATCAGGCTCCCGGAGCCAGCCCTGGAAAGAAGCATATTTAGTGAAGGGAGACATCTTTGAATGTGAACTGCACTGTGCACTAGCTAACTAAGCATATAACTCAAGGCGAGTTGATGGTATCTGCAAAAAGGGATTAAAAGAACCATGATATTACACAATAGAATATTATGCAGCTTTAAAAAAGAATCCTGCCTACTGTCCCCATAGCACATAGCACACAGTGAACCTTTGTGTGTAGAAAGTCTGATCCCACATAGCCAACAGCGGTTTGAGTCCTGGCTCTGGCAGGACTTGAAAAACTCACCGGGTATGTATGTACATGCCCCAAATCCTGATCAGTAACTGATCTCCCCTTCTTCCTGAATGAGTGAGCAGATGATTCGATACTGATGTCAGCATCCTTGAACATATATATCCAAGTGAGCAGTGCTCGACTCCTGCTTCGATTTGAAACGATTCTGTTTTGGTGTTGTCCAAAGCTTCAAAGCACTACTTGGCATCTCCTTTGTTCCATGGAGCGCTCACATTCAAACATGACAGACTTGGTAAAATACGATTAGGTTGAGTCTTGCTAGCTTCTGCTTGGTCATCTATATATGAATCCAATGGTTTGTTGGTGGGTTTTTTCGGCTGAATATTTTTTCTTTTCTCTTTCTCCTTCCTTCCTTCCTTCCTTCCTTCCTTCCTTCCTTCCTTCCTTCCTTCTCTCCTTCCTTCCTCTCTCTCTCTCTCTTTCTTTCTTTCTCTCTCTCTCTCCCTTCCTTCCTTCCTTTCTTTTTTGTTTTTGATGGTTTTTAGCTGATATTCGTGAAGAGCAGTGAGTACTTAGAACTGTGCCGCTAATGGAAGGAATCCAATCTAAAAGAGTTCGTTTCTTTACAGAGCTGTGTCATACCATCCTTGGGCCCTCTGCTGGAAAAGTAGTCTCAAATAATGCTTTTTTAATTGTATGCTCTAGTATTTTAGATGTAGGACAGTACCGTATCATGCCTCTGTGAATGTAAAATGCCTTGTACCTGCTTTATGATACATAATAGTGACCATGCTTTACCAGAGCTGTTTTTTTTTTTTTGGAGAGATTTTCACTGTAGGGCGCGTGTGCTCGCCAGACACAGAGAGAGACAGAGAGATAGAAAGTGAGAGATCACCCCCCAGGGGGGATGGTCATGCCGCAATCCCTTCTCCTCCATTCTCCTCTCGGCGGGGTCTTGGGCACGCATGCACATGCGCCCGGCGTGAGTTTTAAGCCACTGGGTCCGGGACACGAACCGCGGTCGACTACGTGGGAGTCCAGCGACATAGCCATTACGCTAACTGCTGGTTCCCATCCAGAGCTGTTTTTAATGATGTTCTAGAATGTTTTCTTTCCAGATGATGATTCGGAAACTAATTTTTTTTTTTTAAAAAAATGGTGCCACGTACCACAACTGTAACAGAACTTTTCTGTTTTCTATTTTGTTTTAATCTTTTTATCTTTTTTTTTTTTAATAGAGTGTGATGGATGTCTCCATAATTTTGTTCAGATGACTGCAGGACCTGGAAAAGCTGTTGCTGCTATTGATGCATAACATACTGCTTTTATTGGTCTTTTAATACATAATTTGAATTTTTGGAAACTTTAGCTGTGCTGTCAACTTTGAAAAAGTATCCCAGTTTACCATGTTGAGTTGGCATTGTACAGACATTAACAGCCATATTGGTTTACAAACATTACACTTATTTTTTTCCAACTAGTTCAGGGGTAATGCACTGTATTAAATATGGAAGGTCTTATCTACATAGGTTTGATTACAGAAGCTAATAAAGTATTCTCTAAATAATGAAAAAAAATCATGCAGTTGGCCATGTGGGATCCAGCTGCCTTAACCTCTATGCCACCTGCTGGTCCTCCACTGGGGTCTTTGATAACCATCCACTGTGACAGTCTTGCCTGGGCCACCCTCTTTTTAATCACCTAGCCCTCAATGGAAGCCTCTACCTGGTTTTTCAACTTCTACTCTTGTCACTTTATTATTTTTTTATTGAATTATTTTATTTAACTTATTATTTATTTATTTTAATTCAACCAGAGAGAGGGAGAGAGAGAGAGAGAGAGAAAGTGAGAAAGCAAGCCACCAGGTTCGGGACTTGAACCACAGTCGCCATGTGGGAGTCCAGGATCCTTACCTACCACACCACTTGCCAGCCCTATCACTTTAAATTTCTACTCTCCATGTAGCATCAAAAGGAGTCTTTTTTTTTTTAGAGAGAGATTTTTGCTATAGGGTGTGTGTGCTTGCTGGAGAGACAAGAGAGACAGACAGAAAGCGAGAAATCACCTCCTGGGGATGGTGACCATGCTGTAATCCCTTCTCCTCCAGTCTCCTCTCAGGATCTTGGGCACGCATGCACACACACCAGGTGTGAGTTTGAAGCCACTATTTCTGGGTTAACTACATGGAAGTCCAGTGTAACCATTATGCCATCTGCTGGTCCCATAAATCAGTCTTTTAAGGACAAGAATTGGACCATGTTTCTTTCCTGTTGAAAACACTTGAGTACTTCCCATTGGGACTAACATAAAATCTCAGATTCTCACCGGAAAATTGCAGACCATGCATGATCCTACGTGATCTGAACCTGTCTCCTCCTGCCGGTTGTCCCCTCACTCAGCACACTCCAACCACAAAGAACCCCCCACCCCCCAGAATATGTCAAAGTTCATTTCCATCTCAGGGTCTTTGTACCTGTATGTCCTTCTGTCTGGACTACTCTTCTTTGTACATTTTTTTTTCCCTCACCTAGAGGCTGCATGTGCTTTGCCCAAAATGACAGACAGTGAGAGAGGGAGAGGAGAAAGCACCCTCCACATGGGAGATAGTCACACCACGGTCCCTTCTCCTCCATTTCTTCTTGTTTTGGGAAATTGGCCATGCATGCACATGCACCTGGCATGTTCCTCAGGGTACTAGATCTGGGACTTGCACTGCATAGTTGGCTGTGTGGGATCTGGCTGCCTTCACCAGGCCATGGAGCCAGCCCGTCTCAGCATTTTGTGTTGCTGGCTCCATGTCATGTTTAGGTTTCAGCTCAACTTTCCTCCTCTGTGAGGAGGTGACAATTGTTTGTTTGTTTGTTTATTTATTTATTTATTTATTTTTAATTTGACCAGAGAAGGAGAAGAGATCGAAAGTAAGCTGCCAGGTCCAGGACTCAAACCGTAGTCAGCCATGTGGGAATCCAGCACCCCAACCATCACACCACCTGCCGGCCCCAGCAGG